GTAAGTGTGTGTGTGTGTGTTTGTGTGTGTGTGTGTGTGTGTGTGTGTGTGTGTGTGTGTGTGTGTGTGTGTGTGTGTGTGTGTGTGTGTGTGTGTTCTCGGGCGCAACGGTAAAGTGGGTGTTATGTACTTACTCTCGCTTTACTGTAATGCCTGTCATTTGCTCATCGCCCCAATGGTTAATTTCCGGTGGCTGCGGCGGCGGCGACTGCAGCGGCAGTAGCGGCGGCAGCAGCAGCAGCAGCAGCAGTAGCGGCGGCAGCATTAGCGAAGCGAGTCGGGAGAAGAAATTATTTTTCGCGTGTGTTCCCTCGGTGGAGTGTGTTGAAGGCGCGTGCCGTGCTCTGAGAGACCAGTTCTCTCTTATTACACACTTCTGCCTCAGCTCAATTTATGAACTATGATGGTGGGTAGTGCCAGAAGATAGTGCTGATAGTTAGTGCTAAGACCTCTGGTGATAATACTAGTAGTTAGTGCTAGGAACTCTGGTGATAGTGCTGGTAGTTAGTGCTAGGACCTCTGGTGATAATGCTGGTAGTTAGTGCTAGGACCTCTGGTGATAATGCTGGTAGTTAGTGCTAGAACCTCTGGTGATAATGCTGGTAGTTAGTACTAGGACATCTGGTGATAGTGCTGGTAGTTAGTTCTATGACCTCTGGTGGACGTGTATAACGTTAATAATCACATTACAGGCGACTAAAAACACTTAAGAGTCCAAACACACATAATGCACAACAAATCTCCAGGACTGAACTATCTGAAGACATGATTAAGCTCAGTGCTGAAGGAAACCTCGGTTGAAACAACGTCTTGATCTCTAGTACGTATGTCGACACCCGAGTGTCGCCTTCCGGCCCCAGCCACCATCTGTTTTGCTGATATTATTACTTGGCTGATGTTACTTTACTAGTTCCGAGAATCTTAAATATGCAAAAGACATTATGAATAACGAGTGTAAATATGCTCTGAAACAGTTTTGAAACTGCCCAGGCAGTCTGGCCCTCCTTACTGATTTAGCGCTTCCCAATAATAATAATAATAATAACAATAATAATAATAGTAAAATATTGTTATATTATTATTATTATTATTATTATTTCAATTATTATTATTATTAATCTGATCATTATTTTTATATTATTGTTATTAATTTTATTATTATTATTATTATTATTATTTATTATTATTATTATTATTATTATTATTATTATTATTATTATTATTATTATTATTATTATTATTATCGTAAATGCACAGACAATTGGTAATTTCATACATTTCAACAATTGTAACTTTATACCTTAATAAATAATATTATAATTATTTTTTATATATTAAGTAAAATAGTAATAGTGGTAGTACTAGCAGCAGTAGTAGTTAAGATGGAAATAATAGTAACTAGCAGTACTAGTAGTAGTAATAATATTGGTAGTGATAGTGTTGCTATCATCATCACAAGTATTATCATCATATCATCATCACAAATATCATCATTATCATCATCACAAGTATCATCATCATTATCATCACAAGTATCATCATCATTATTATCCCAAGTATCATCATCATTATCATCATCACAAGTATCATCATCATTATCATCCCAAATATCATCATTATCATCATCACAAGTATCCATCATTATCATCATCACAAGTATCATCATCATTATCATCATCACAAGTATTTGTTTTTCATGAATCCTCCCGAGTCCAGGAGGTCGGGCCTGTTGTTGTTGTTGTTGTTGTTGTTGTTGGTGGTGGTGGTGGTGGTGGTGGAGGAGGTGTTGCTCCTGCTGTTGCTGCTGTTGTTACTCCTGTTGCTCTTGTTACTACTGCTGCTCCTGCTGTTGTTTCTGTTGTTGTCGTTGTTGCTGCTGCTGTTGTTTCTACGGCTGCTGTTGCAGCTATTGGTACTGGAACTGCTGCTGCTCCTTTTACTGGTGCTTTGATGCTGCTGTCGGTGTTGTTAGTGCAGTTTTTGGTACTGCCGCTACTGCATCTGTTGGTGCTGCTGCTGTTCCTACTGTTGCTGTTGTTGGTTCTGCTTGTATTGCTGCTGTTGGCACTTGCTGCTGCTGATATTGGTACTGTTGCTCCTGCTGGTGGTATTACTGCTGCTGCTCCTGCATCTGGTACTGCTGCTGCTTGCTGCTGCTTCCTGACAACTCTAAGCTGAAAAATTACTTCCTAACATTCCTGTGACTCATCTAATTTTTCAGCTTCCAACTGTACCTTTTTGTTTTTTTTCCATCTTTGTAGCATTCTGTCCTTGTTCACCTTATCACTTCCTCTCATTATTTTGTATGTCGTTATCATATCCCCCCTAGTCTTCCTGTCTCATCAGGATGAGTACCCTTAACCTCTTATAGCATATGCCCCTTAGATACGGGACTATTCTTGTCGTAAACCTCTCACTTCCTCCAATTTCTTGATATGTTTGACTATTTGCTGTAGCAGTTATTTGATTGATGTGCGCTTCAGGGGGCATGCTCGATGTGATACTTACCCCAAGGTTCTTCTCCATGAGTAAGGTTTAAAGTTTTTACCTCCCGGGCCTGCACTCCGCCTGCGGTCTTCTTTGTCCTTCCCTAAGCTTCATAGTTTTACACTTGGTGTGGTTAAACTCCAGGAGGCATTTGTCAGACGAGGCCTGCAGCCTGTCTCTATCCATAACTGGTCCTGGTCCGCTTGTATTCTCACATCGTCTTGGAACAGGGATACCTCTGACTCTCTCCTTTCCGTCATGTCATTCATGTGTTTAAGAAACAGCACTGGCCCTAGGACTGACCCTTGAGGAACCCCACTCGACGCATGCACCCTTTCGGACACCTCGTCACAGACAATCATTAATTCTTTCCTTCCTGAGAGGCATTCCCTGATTAATTGCAGCGTTTTTCCTGTTATTTCTGCCTGCTCCTCTATCTTTTGTACCAGTTTTTTGTGGGGTACTGTGTCAAAACACTTCTTATAGTCCAAGAAAATGTAATCTACCCATCCCTTTGTCTTGTCTTCTGTTATTTTTTCGAAGAATTCCAGTAGGTTTGTGACAGGATTTTCCATCCCTGAAGCCATGTTGGTTGTTATGTAGGAACCTACTCCTTTCAAGGTGCTCCACCACTGATAATCGTCCTCATAACTTGACATACTATACATGTCAGTGACACTGATCTATGGTCTGTAGTTTAACGTTGCATGTCTGTCTCCATTCTTTAAACTTTGAATTATATTTGCTGTGTTCCACACCTCTGGCAGTTGCCATGATTCGTTAGACTTGTTGGTAATGGCACATACAGTGCCTCTGCTTCTTCTCTCAGGACCCACGGAGAGATATTAATTGGTCCTACCGCCTTTGAGGTATCTAGCTCACATAACAGCTGATTCACCTCCTCTCCGGTGCACTCTAATGCTTCGGTTTGCTAGTAATCTTTCTATCTTCCCTGAAAATACCTTCCTAAATCTCATGCCGAGCTCTTCACAAACTTTCTGGCCCTTTCTTGTGAGCTCCCCATCTTTTTTCCTCAGCCTGATTACCTGGTCCCTGACTGTTATCTTCCTCCTGATGTGGCTATATAACAATTTTGGTTTGGATTTAGCTTCTATGCTATATCTTCCACAAATTGCCGTTGAGTCTCCCTCCTTATTCACGCATACTCATTTCTGGTTCTTCGGCTCATCTTGTTTTCCTTAATTTTTTCTCCTTCTATACTTTATCCATGCTCTAACACATTTGGCCTCTCTACTCATGTTTCTATTGCTCCTGGGTACGAACGTCTCCGCCTCCCTGCACATTCTGGCCAAATACTCAATCAGATCATTAACTGTCATTCCCTGTAGCTTTCTTTTACTTTGCACCTCATACAGAAATTGCCTCATGCCTGTATAATCCCTCTTATGAAGTGTGGCTTCTCACTTTCTTCTGCTGTTTCACTCTCCACTATTAATTCGACAAGGTAATCGAAAATCAGGATTGTTATCGCTACCGCCAAGGGGCCTTTCATATGTAATATCCCTTTTGTCAGAACTAATCATGGTGAATACAAGGTCCAGCCTTGCTGGTTTGTCCTCTCGACGCTCTTGGGATGTATCCCTAATATGTTGGTGGATGAAGTTCTCCATTAACGCTTCCAGCATCTCAAGCGCTCCACGTTATTGAATCCCTCGTGTGGTTCTAGGTTCTCCCAGTCAGTATCCTTGTGGTTAAAGTCACTGATGACCGCCAGCTTTGTCCTGCTCACGTTGGCCCTTTTGGTCACCTCAGCTAGTGTGTGTGTGTGTGTGTGCGTGTGTGTGTGTACTTTACGAGAGAGAGAGAGAGAGAGAGAGAGTGAGAACAAGAGAACATTCCCCCCCCCACCAGCCATTACCTCACAAGACGGCCCAACACTCTTTACGTTCATCATTTCAGAAGAATGTCGAAGAGTCACATTCCTCCAAGAAGGCCTTGAAGTTCTCAGTCTTTTTTTTTTTTTTACTTTCTGTTCACCTCATCGTCCAGACTGCCTCTTATTCTCGTCCTCTTCCCAAGTATTTCTTTCGTAACTTACAGACTAGTATCACGAAACAGTAAATTCGATAAATGAATGACATGTATTGTTGAAAACTTAGCTACATGAAAGTTAAAAAAAAATTTATATGAGAATATGCAATCTTAATATATATATATATATATATATATATAATATATATATATATTATATATATATATATATATATAATATATATATATTATATATATATATATATATATATATATATATAACAGATTCGTTCCATTAAAAATCTGTGTTTCTGCGCAGTTTTTTTATTCGATGTGAAATTTTTCACTCATGCGTTGATTACCTGTGAGTTCATTCACTCGAAGGGGTGACGCAATTCACTTAGTGAAGTGCAGTCACTTCATTCATTCGCAGAGGTGACATGTCATTCACTCAGGGAGGTTAATATCTGTCATTGACTTATGCAGGTGACATCTGTCATTCAATCAGGAAGATGTCTGTC